TTTTTTCTTTTTATCTCTTTTCGTTTCGTACGGGACAACAAACTGGGCGAATAAGAAATAAGTTCGACGAAGGGAAATAAATTATTTTAGGAAAATGACTTATTATAAATTCCATATTTTCGATGCGTTTCGTAATACAAACGAAATGGAAACACAAGGAAACAAAGAAAAATAGAAAGACAGAAGGAGAAAGAAAAAAAGAAATATGGCAAAACTTACATAAATCTTGTCAGTATAATTTAATAGATTTACATCTATTAACCATTAAAGAAAAAAAAAAAAAAAAAAAAAAAGAAGAATCCGCCATTTTGTATAAATAAATGGAAACAAATGATTGGTCGAAATTTTTCGCTCGTGTCAAAGAGAACACTCTCCTAACCTGTGAGACAAATTTAATCAATGATAACGTTGTTTCATAAAAATCAACGTTTCGTTATACTAATTAATTCCGATCGATTACAAATTTATGATCTCTTGAAAATATTTCGTATCTTTTTACGGATCGTAACTACAAATAAAAAGAGAAAATAAAAAATGTGAAATTAAATGAAGATCTCTAACAGACGTCATATTGTTTCATGCAGTATGCAACATGTTACATGAATACATTCATACATACATACGTAATATCGTGTGAGCTTTGATGCCAATATTGTTACATTGTTCGAATTCAACTGAACGACCGCCGATCAAAAATAAATGCCCGTAACACTGACACCACACGACTTATTGGAGTTCGGTGTACACAAACGTGAAACACACGACTGCTATTTAAAGGCGCGTATTGCTCTTTTGAAGTATTATTGTCTTTTTATCTTTTTATTTCCCCTTTTTACAGAGTCCTATAAGCTGTTATGTAATCGACAAAACGTGAAAAAGATATATGAACCTTTTTTTAATAGTAAATTTCTATATGAGACTAATCCAAAGTTCCTAGATGATAACTTTTAACCTATGAATTATAAAATAATAATAATAATAATAATAATAATAATAATACCATATTCATTTATTTTGTTTTTGGAGTATGTGCTTCCTTATTTTACGTTAATTTACGAGAAAAAGAAAAATAGTCGATATCTATTAGGATTCCCAACGTACTTGGAAACTCCCAACTAATCTGTAAATTCTATTCCTAACCTCTAATTAATTGTCTAGGGGAGAAAAATAAGAATAAACTCGGGATATTTAAAAATGACGAATGATTTGTTGTATAATTTATTTCGTGGAATAGTTGCGTATATTAAAATAAGAAAATAAATGGAAAAGAGGAAGAAAGAGAAAGAAAATGAACTTAAATGATTTGTGTATTTATTTTTAACTAACTTCACACCAGAGTACGAGTATCGATAATGACTGGCTTAAAAATTATGCATGTTAATATAAACGGCAGGTATCGTTCTCATGCAAATGTGACATAAGTCAAAGCGCCAGTCTTCCCTTCCACCTTCTTCTTCTTTTCCTCTTTCTAAATTTTAACGAAGAGTAAAACGTTAAGATCAACAAACTTGTAAAGATCTTCAAAAATGTCTTATCCTGGACCTCCATATTGAATATAAAAATAAATTTTCAAGAAAATACAGCATATATAATAATAACAATAATAATAATAATAATAATTTACTTATATTTATCTTGTTCTCTGATTATTTATCCGACACCACTAGGATTCGATTCCTACGTACTTAGAAGCTCCCAACTAATTTGTGAATGCTATTGCTAATCTCTAATTTATTTCCTACAAAAACAAAAAATAGTATAAACTCGAAAAATGGAAAAATGTACATTCATACATATATGTACATGTTATGTATACATTACGTGTGCATGTGCAGAGTATATAAGTGTAATATACATACATAATGTAATAACAACACGTTGATTGAATCTAACATCTAACAATAAGCTATGTATGTACTTAAATATACATGTATGTAATAAGTATATATGTACGATAGTGGACACAGCGAATATACTATATATTATTTACGTGAGATACATGGAATATTCGGCACGAGTGCATTTAATTTATATCTGGATCGATAATGAAAAATACGATAAGCGAGATATTCGACAGAATCGGTCATACATATACATTTTTTTTAAATTATTTGTAGCTAACCAATCAAAAATAATTTTCATTACTACATTATGTATATGCGTGTGATTATCTCTCTTAATAATCGCATTTACAAACATATGTATGCATGTATGTATATATCTATATATATATATATATGCATGTACGACGAAGGTCGGTGAATTAAATCAATGCGCCGAAGATACGAGAGAGAGACAGAGAGAATGTGACCGAGAAAATTATTCCACGTTCGTCGTAACGCTGCTCACGTTTTCATGGCCGGAAGAACAGAGTCCGAGTTAATACTTCCAACATATTTTTCGTCGCTTACAACCAATGAAAGAAACGAAAAAAAAAAAAAAAAAAAGGCACGAAAAAGGACCATAAATCAATCCAATAACAAGAGTTTTAAAATCTTTCATATGCAAATGCATATGAATGTGTATTGAATATTTTCGGTTAGAACCAATCACCGCGAAAAGAATAATAAACGATTTATATTTGACTCAAGTGAAATTGGTCGATAATTCTCTGGCGGGAATTCCGAAAGATTCGAACTTTGACAAAAATCTTTATTAGAAAAGAAAAAGAACTAACAATTAAAATCATATATATTATTAAATATGTATCATTTTGTACATTTATATATACATTATATTACATTATATTACACACGCATATAAGTAAGTATATACATGTATATATAAAGAGAATTCATATCGAGTTTCGTGTCACGCACGGAGAGCGTACCAGGTAAATATACACGCGCGCCTGCTGAGTACGGTGTTCTTGAGTGAATCACAAGGCCCACAAAGGCGCGCGAAAGTACACCACTTCCCTCCCCTATGCCCCCACTTCCCACACCCCGTTATTTACGCTACCTATCCAGAAAAACGAAACAGAACAAAAAGAAAAAGAGAAAAAAGGGAGAAATAGAAAAGAAGAGAGAGAGAGAGAGGGGAAGAGAGAAAGAAAAAGAGAAACAATGCGCGCGTAACGAGCTACTACTTTGAATTGTCAAAAAAAAAAAAAAAGTGATTTTTACGTAAAAGAAATATTTTCTGTTTGATTAAAAGCGTTTGTGTATAAGCGAGAAAAAGAAAAAAAAAAAAAAAAAAAAGAGAGAATGAAAGAAAGAGAACGGAAGAAAAGTATCACATTACCGATTTTTTTAACAGCGCCATCACGTGATTACTACGCGATATTATATATATACTACGCGTTACCTTTAAACACGAATATACCGCGTGTCTCATCAGAATCGATTCATGCAATTATTAGAAATATCGAGTATGAGTTGAAAATTCCAAGTTTGTTCTAATGTATTTCTAAATGATTTTAAAAATGACTAAATCGTGACGGGGAAGTAAATAAGTAAGACTCTGATTGGTCAGTAATTAGATTTTCATTGGAATAGATCAATTAGAATAAAACCAATTAAATTGAAGCCTTATAGGAAAAGTTTATAAATTTTAAAGATCCAATTAACGGATCTGTACTGTAAATTAAATTATTTGTCAATTTTAAGCCTACATATTGTCTTGTAAATAATTTGAAAAGTAATAAAATCATGATACAAGTCCAAGGGGGATACTGACGAACTGTGATTGGTTAGGTTTTACAATCTTATCGAAACGGACCAATCAGAATTAAACTATTTTGAAAAATGTCAACATTTTAATTCAATATTCATAGATATAAAGTAAAGGCTTGAAATATGTATATCTTTTAGTAAACACCTAACGAGAATGATGACGAATCATCCTGAGAAGTATTTATAAGGATATTTTTAAAAATCTTCAATTATTTAAAAAACCATAAACGAACAAACTGATCAAATTTGAACCGACATACGTCCCAAAATCCTTAATAATAATCAACAAAGAGATAATTAAATATAAAATTTGTTATCTGTTCTTAATTAGATATTTTAATCTAATACATACAACATACACATAATTAATTATGTAAAGTCCCTAATCGTATTCAAAATAATATTAAATAAAGAATAATGAAATAAAACGTATTATCTATATAGACTATATTTTTGATAAAGTAAAACAGACAATAATTAAATAAATAAATAAATAAATGAATACGTAAATAAAGATCATTAAGTTTAAACGATCGAAGTCGGAATCGTTCGGTTTACGCCGGCCGGGCCGGCTCGACTACAATCGCGTTCGATCGGACCTCGCGTACGAGGCGAAACGTACGTCGAGTGAGGTGGGGGCAGGACGAAGGAGACCGAACGAGCGATGGGAGAGACAAGGAGGGGGAGAAATAGTGAGGGAAGAAGGAGAAGTAGGAGGAGAAAGAGGAGGAGAAGGGGCCACTTCGTCGATCGTCGCACTTTACGGGACGTATGAATGAAACGAACGATCTTTCGAAAGTCGCGGACGCGGTTGCTCGTGTGTCGCGTAACGAAAAAGAGAGAGAGAGAGAGAGAGAGAGAGAAAGAGAAAGAAAGAGGGGAAAAGGATAAAAAGAAGGTAGGAGTCAAAAAGAGAGAGATAGAGATAAATAGATGTTCCAAGAATCCGTCGAGCTGTGGCGCGAGCGTCGTTACGCGGACACGGCTCCGAAAAAACGACTTAAAAAAGCACTCTGTACAGTAGAACGACGGAAAAGTCAAAGACGGAGAGAAAAAGATAGATAGAAAGAGAGAGAGAGAGTAGGAGAGTTATGAAGAGGAGTAAGAGGAGAAGAAAGGGGAAGAACGGTAGGTTCGGTCGAAGTCGTCGAAGCGACGACGCCTTTCCACCGGTTCTCGTCGCACGCGCGATAAGGTGTAAGAAGTAAAGAACATCGAGATTTTCCGAATTCCGCGAGAGTATTTAAAAAAAAAAAAAAAAAAAGAAAAAAGATGAAAAAAGAGATAAAATAAAATAAAATAAAATAAAATAAAAAAGATACTCACCGAGTAGTAAAAGCTTGAGTTCTCTCCTGGCATCTCGTTTGTCCCTTCTCAGTTGCCTCTCAATTTCCTGGTTAATACGCTTTTGCTCTTTCGCCTCTTCCGACAGGCAGCACGCCATGGCTCAGGACAGCGATATCCTCCGTGAGAGGAGGAATAGAGGGGCCTGAGGGAGGATTATGGAAGAGAGAGAGAGAGAAAGAGAGCGAACGGTTTCGGACAAAAACGGGACTGCGGGGGTGCAACGGAATGAAGAGTGAGGAGGGGGTATAACTATTTGTAACGCGGCGAAAAGCGCCGGCCAAGCGCCGACCGTCGTCGAGATGACGACGACGACGACGACAACGAAAAAGAATTAAAGAAGGACGGTCGTCTATCGTCCGGTTGATATTATCTCGACAGGGCGATGTACGAGAAATAAGAAAAAGAGGAGGAGGAGGAGGAAAAGGAAGAGGAGGAGGAGGGACGACGTCTCGTCGCCGTCCTCGTGGTCTCGGCTATCTTTCTCCTTCTCTTCTTTTCAAACAACAACGACGGCGACGACGACGACGACGACGACGGCGATGACAACGATGATGATGATGACAAGGACGTTGCTTCGACGACGACGACGACGACGACGAAGATAATAATGATGATGATGACACTATTACTATTACCGACACGACCGGCGTGTAAAACTCTCCCAACGGTCGTTGTTGTTGTTGTTTTTGTTGTTGCTGTTCTTCTTTTATTATTACTATTATTGTTATTATTATTACTATTATTATTATTTTTATTATTATTATTATTATTATTATTATTACTACTTCTACTTTTTTTTTTTTGCACCACGAGCTCCTCGAACAACACAACAACCACCACTTTCAGCACCTTTTCTCCCTTTTTATAACGCTTTTCCTCTTCTTCTTCTTCTTTTCTTTCTTTTTCTTCTTCTTCTTCTTGCACCACCGGCACCAACAACACTCGTCGCACCACGTCCACCACCGCCACCACGACCACCACCACCAGCACGGACACCACGGCGGCACTTCTTCAGCACCGCTTTTGCTTCCTCTTTTTCTTCTCCTTCTTCTTCTTTTATCTCTCTCTCCCTCTTCTTTTTTTTCTTTTTCTTCTTTTTAATCCCTCTCCTCGTTCAGCGCGAACACTAACGAGGAGGATACTCTCCCCCGCTTGACGGTAACCTAAACTATTCTATCTATCACTCAACGTGGAAGAAGAAAAACGAAGAGGACGAAGACAACACAACAGCAACGTCGACGACGACGACGAAGACGACGACGATCGTTGCTCCTCCCGACGACGACGACGACGACGGCAGCGACGCATCAACGCATTCACGCACTCAACTCCCTTCTTCTTCTTCTTCTTTCTATCGTCACCACCTTTTCTCAATTCACTCCTCCTTCTTCTTCTTCTTCTTCTTCTACTACTTCTTAGTTCTTTTCTAATCTTTTCTCTTCAGAGAAAGAGAAAAAGAAAAACAGGAGGAAAATAAAGTACCACAGACCGCGAGTAGTGCGGAGCGCACGCTCGCACGCACGCACGCACGCACGGGGCACGCACGCACGCATGCACGCGAGGAACAGAGAGAGATAGAGAAACAAACTTGAGCGTCCTCGGGGCCACGACGATTCCACACGACGATTCCACGACCACGATGACGTTGATTATTTAACACACCAAACTCACGAGTACAGTAGTAACCTCCTTGCTCTCGTTCCTTATCCTTAGTATGTTTCTTTTTCTACTAAAACACGGTACAATAACGACGACAATAACGATGACGACGACAGTAGCAACGACAGACAACGACAACGACGACGACGACGAGGACAACGTCGACGAGAGATATCACCGGCTCTCTCGTTTGACGCTCTGTCTCACTCACTCTCTTTCACTCTCTCTCTATCTCTCTCTCTTTCTGTCTACGCTCCTTCGCTCAAGAGCGTACCAATCGCGCGAGGGATTTTCTACGGCTCGCTCGGTTGGGTGTGGTAACTCACCGGCGCTGTCTCTCTCTCTCTCTCTCTCTTTCTCGTTTCCCCTTCTTCTTTACCTTCCACTCTATCCTTCTACCTCTATCTCTTTCTCTCTCTCTCTCTCTCTCTCTCTCTCTTACTAACTCCCTCGCTCGCTCTTGGGAAACTCGGGAGAGAAACTAGAGCCAACACCGTACGAACACGAAGATCTCACCACGATGTCGTTGCCGACGACCACAATGACGAGTACGACGACAACGACAACGACAATGACTATGTGACTACGACGACGAAAACGAAGACGAAGACGACGAAGAGGACGACGTCAACGTCGACGAGAGGAACCGACGATAGAGGATTATTACGAGAATGGTGTCTTTGACACACGCGCGCACACACACGCCACAGAGGAGAACAGACTGGGCTCCAAGAGGAACTACTCTCCTGCCACCTCTCGTTCTCTATCTCTATCTCTATCTATCTATCTATCTATCTATCTATCTATTTATCTATCTATCTATCTATCCATGTATCTATCTTTCTATCTTTCTCTTTCTCTTTCTCTTTCTCTTTCTCTCTCACTCTATCTCTCTTGGTGTCGCTCGAAGCAAAAGGCGACACGACCGAGGGTGGAAGAAGGAAGAAGGTAACCGGCCACACACGGAGGTTCGAGCGCGGTGAGCGAACTCGAACGATTCGCGGCGCGCCCGTTCGGTACACGGACTTTTATCGACCCTCCTACTAACTCCTCTCTCTTTCTCTACGTGGAATCCTGTTAAACCAAACCAGATTGACGAAGCCCGACAACGACTACGAACGTATTTACGTACGTACGTACGTACGAACGTACTACGTTCGAACGAACGAACGAACGTACAAACATAAGAACATACGAACGAACGGATGAACAAACAAACGGACGGACAGACGGACGGACGGACGAACGAACGAAACGAACGAACCAAGTGTCGCGAACGCGCGCGCGAGTTAGGCCATCGCTCTCTCTTTCTCTTTCTCTTTCTCTTTCTCTTTCTCTTTCCCTTTCTTTCTTTATTTCTTTCTTTCTTTTCACGTTATTTTATCGTCTTACTCTACTTGTCGAAAAAACAGAAAAGACAAGGTTGGAGGAGGAGAGAGAAAGAGAGAGAGGAAGGGAAACTTCGGACATATACCACTGTGATAGAACACGTGTTTCCACACATTATACCCACTGTCTTTAACGAGATTAAAATCCGACGTTAAGGGCAGCAGCGATCTCTCTACCCGACCGCCACCCGTCGGGGGAGGAGGCACGGAGAACGTAACGACGACAACGCACCGGCCGAGACACACTACGGATATAGGTTATATTCTATCCCTCTCTTTCGCTCTCTTTCTAACCATGCTCATTCGCTTCATGACTCTCTCTCTCTCTCTCTCTCTATCTCTCTTTCCTCCCACTCTTCCTCTTTAGTCTACTTTCTCTCTCTCTCTCTTTCTCCTCCTCGCCGTATACGATCAACCGATCCCCATAAAGCGATACACCTGCCCTCTGTTCGTGTCTCTACGCATTACTACTTTCTTACGCTTATTCTTCCATATGATATTCTTGTTTAGATACTTTTTTTTATTTACCCTGCAAAAACTTACCTTTTTATTTACTAACCCTTTTCCTTTCTTTTTATTTATTCTTAAATCGCGATGTCTTCTACTTCCATTGTCAAATGTCATTGATCATCTTCTTCAAAATATTTTTTCCGTGTGAATTTCGATATCTTCGCACGCATCGTTCGCATCATTATAGAGGGAGTGTCGTGACCTAATCGAGAAAACGGCGCGCGTCTTCTCCCAGGCACCGTATTCTTTCTCTCTCTCTACTCCTATTGGTCGCGCCGTCTTGTATACGCACGTCGCCATATTGCTTCCAACTTTTCAAACCTATGGCGCCAGTGTACGACATGATATCGGTTTTTTTAATCTTACACAACTCGTTTGTTTATTTAATTTCTTTTTACCTGGCTTCTTTTTTCGAAAAAAAAGCAAATATGTCGCAGTTATGTATGTATTTTTTTGTATTATAATTTTATCTGTATTTTTGTTATATATAAGCAAGTATTTACGTAGAATGAAATCTTTATTTATGCGAATATTAACGCATTACATAGGTAGAAATTTGTATAATCTCGTATACAAATTGGTTTTATTTTCTGGCTTAAAGCGAACTATTAGATTTTTTCTTCTATGGATTATAACGGAGTTTTTAGTTTATCAAATGATCAGGGTACAGACAAACCTTGACACGTTCTTGCATGTAAGAGGATTAAACTGACTTTGAGATGATAATAAGGCTTCCCAAACCGTTTACAATTTGTATACGACGTTTTTCACTGATGATTTACGTTCGAGGAAGCATCGGAATGAAATTTTATCGTGCGATTATTGTTAACATTATTATTATTATTTTTTATCAACGCGATTTGTTGTTTGACACAATTGACACGTTTCTACGTTTTCCGGTATTTCCGCGGCAATCATGCTGTGTTCTTTTACTGCATGAAATATAAATTACGATTATGTTATCAATTAAATATGATGTATTCTTTTTCTTTTAGTTACCTAAGTCCTCGACGTACAAATAGTCTTTTAATCGTTTAAATATCGCGGAAATTTCTTTGAAATAATCCAAATCGTTAAAAAATTCTACGATCCTTCCGAAACCTTCGTGCAGTGTTACCAATCGTCTGCAATTAAAAAAACAGCACCTAACATAAACTTGGGAGCATTAAGGGATTCAATGTAGGAAGATTCAACCTCAAAATACAAGAACCAAAGTTATTTTTTTAACGTACGCGTTAACTACTTTCGGCAATCTTACATCCAAAATTTGTCTACTTTCTTGATAATCCTCTAAAATAGAATTGTATTGACAACGTAATTTTTCTAATTGCAATTCCGACAATTTCGATGTATTAAGAAAATGTTGAAAATTTTTTGCAGCTATGGAAAAATTTTCTTTCCTCGATTTATGTTCCTCCATTAAAATACGCAATTGTTTAGACATTGTTATACTCTTAGAACAATGTTCGCTTAAATCTCGTAAGAATGATATTCGATATTCCTTTTTACTCTCCATCTAATCAGCGTAATCAACAAAACATCAATTTTATACATAAGTCAACTATTTGCAAACTTGTCTACCTGTTGAAGCTGTTCGGCTAAAGATTTGAAATTTGTTGTTGAGTTATCAACCAAAGTAATACGAGTACTAATTAACAATTGTCCAACATCCATCACCCTTTGAGCAGCTTGATTGGTTACTTGTAAGGATTGTATATAATGGATTAATGCCTCAAGTGCATTACTGATCAAATCCAACTGTTGCATTAAAACTGCTTGTCTGTCATCAGCTAAGGCTTCCTCAACCTGACTTCCAATCAACCTTAATTCCATGTTCTCCCTTGTTCGTTGCGAACGTAATCTGTTCGATCTCTGTTTGGGAAACATATATAGTATACATATGTACGTACAAAGTTTTTTTCTTAAATCTTTCTATTCGATTCTCATTTGGTGCCATTTTCAAAACAATACGTGCATTCAAATTACTGCCTTGATATTGTCGTTGATTAAATACTTGGAAGACTTTTTCTTATTACAATGTTCGTAACATAAACAACAGTCCATCGAGTGATGTTCCTCTCCAGAAGTTCCACGCTGTTGAAATACTTCATCTTCTTCCGAAGTCGCTGGCAAATATGAAAAATGACGCCTGCATAACGAAGGCTCGCTCCAACGTTTGTATTGATTCTTTCGAAACATTTTAAAACTTCTTTTCTGTCTTATTAGACAAAACTAAATACTCAAGATCTTTTCTAATCTTTTTTCTAAAACGTAATTTACTTCGATAATTATTGACACGTTTGTATATTTAAATTTCCTGCCAAACTTTTTTTTATATACTTACTAATTCCTTCAGCGATCATTTTGGATCATAACTTTAAATGTTTCGATGATATATCGATAAGACTGATGTAATCGAGTACATTTGTTATAGTTTTTCAAGGTTAACTTGACGTAATCGATTCTAATAAGATGATATAGTATTACAATGCATAAAAAATGATCTACCTGATGTCGTTCGAGACATGCGACTACAGCGATACATGCGGGAGGAAATGAACTAAAATAGCGCCAATTTGAATTCACGGCGTGAAACTTTGCTAATATTTAAAAAATAAAATGTCCTTGTACGTGATATTTTATAGTTTAGACTACATTGATATTTTAAGAAAAAAACTTTGTTTATATTTATAATAATTAATAAAAAATGTATACTTTTCATAAATAATTTTTAAAGGAACGAAACAATTATGGCAAATCGGCGAATATGTTATTTGAAAAACATCTATGAAGAGAAAAAGAGCGCAAGTATAAATTTCGAATATCAATATTATATTGCATGTGTATATTTAATTTATTATAATCTAAAAATGTTGATAATACACTACTACACTGTTCAATAACATTCTTCTATTTAAGCTCAAGTATAGAATGCTTTGGTTATCATCGTTTTTTTTAAAACGTATATTATATTGCTATTTTCTAATCATGTATGTATAATAAAATTGTAATTCGATTATTTCCGAAGTACGCATGAAAAGACTTTAGAGCGTTATCGAAAATATTACATGGAAAAAGAGGGACGAAATGGAACCTCTTGAACCGATTTTCTTTCCTTCTTTTATTTTTCTATTTTTTCTTTAAATATTTAAATGCAAATCGTTAGATCGGATAAAAATTGTACGCAGTATAAAGGGCATATATTATTATTATTATTATTATCATTGTTATTATTATAAGAAAATTTCGACGAGTTTCCGATTATTCGTACCATTGTAAGGATTAATTTTGTACCGTGTGGCAGTAACACGTCGATATCCAAACCTAAACGCAACTCACTCGCCCGGTCAACGCTGTCATAAAAATTATGTTCTTGGTTTTTTTCTTATTTCTTCTTTTTTTTTTTTAACTCAACAAAAAAATATATTCATATATATTATTTCTTTATCGTTGAATACATCTGACAAAGGACGATACTGGTAAATATATGATACTCGACGATAAACTTAGAAAATCAAGGCACAACTTTTTACACTCCACTTTTAATTATACTCCGACTTTCGGATGAATCTAACACATTTTCTAAACGACGACGCATGTATTCAATGACGCATATGTTAATTGAATTTTATTACGAAGTCTTATTCAGTTCTTGAATAATATGATATATTTTATGCTTGTATATAAATATATGTATGTGTCCGACAAATTTGTTGGAATGTAATTCAATCGAAATACAGTCAGGACTTAACTAAAAATGGAGTATAAATATTTATACCAATAACGAATAATTATCAAATTGTTTTGTTTTTTCTTATAACGTCCTTCTTCACAGTCTTAATCAACCAACTCTTTTGGTGTAGAAGAATCAAAGTTCACAGTTTTTTCCTTTTTTTCTATGAGTTTCTTTTGGTCCACGATTCAATACGCTTACAATAATTTGGCTTATGCAAAAAATTATTGCACACTTAACTTATGCATATAATATTTCTATATATATGTATTATAATGCTATATACCGATTAGCAACGAATCTGTGAGAACAAAAACCTGTGAGAAGAGACCTTTTAATATTATTAATATTATTATTATTATATTATATTACTATTATTATTATTATTACTTTGCCCAATAATACTCTTAAATCATCTTAAGATTTATTATTAGTAATGAGACAATGGATCAATCAATCGTTCAACAACAAATTCATCTTCCGTTTTTTTTTTTTTTTTATAAAAGAAACAATCCAACTTTCCTATTGATATTTTACAAATAATCATTCTGAATAATATAATATAATAGAAAATAAAAACACACACTCTCACAAGTGGAAGCCGAATACCAATAATCTTCTTCTTATAAATAATACTATCTCGCATTATTACGTATATCATTATAGCACTGTTTCTTTTTGTTTATATTAAACAAATGTGTATGTAAATGTATGTATGCGATACATGATTGTTCTACAGATCTATGTAACGAGTATTAATCAAAGTTATAAAATTGCTGATACTGGACCATTGGTATCCATCATCCTACTTTGACTATACAAATTAATACAGGATCAGTAATAACAGTTTCTTTTGATTACTAGTAATAAATTTCCTACGCACACGTGTATCATATACATAAAATACTCATCAAAGAATATACAAATGTGATAATTAGTTATTTACCGTAAGAAAAATCAATAAGGAATAATAATAAATGAAATTTAAAAAAGAAAATCTACCATCGAGAGATATTATTATTGTATCTCTAAATTGTAGTACAAGAATATTCTGTTTGACGGAAATAGAAAGGATGGAAACGAAAGTAAATTTAAATATCGTTGTAAAAATCATGATAACATATCTATCAATTTATATACATCGTTCTACTCGATCTCGTAAGATACTTTCTTTCATCTACGCTCTCGTCGTGTAAGAATATTATTTTTCCTAAAATTTTAACGATTCAAAGTGCAAAAATCTGATCTAAATATTATTTCTTCTTACTCTTGGTATTTGAAACTACTTCTAGATATTTTTTTATCGAGATGATTTTTTTTGTTTTTGAACAATAAAAAGTAGAGATGATTAGATCTTGGTAAAATTTTTAAAAAGACCCTTCGTAAAAAAGAGCTCTCGTGTAAAGGTATCTATTGATAAATTGTTGATGATAAATCTTTTAATGATTATTTTTCTCTCTCTCTCTCTCTCTCTCTCTCTCTCTCTCTCTCTCTCTCTCTCTCCCTCTCTCTTTCTCTCCCTCTCTCTCAGCGACCACGAAAAAGTAATATCTCATAAAAGTTATTTATCCCTAAAAGTAATATATGTAGATCTATGTACACTTCCATAAAATAAAATTAATCTAATATACAGAGTGTTCTATAACTAATTGTAAAAACGGGCAGGGGATGATTCTAAATGAAAAATTAAGTCAAGAATGTACAGTCAAATTTGTTCGTATAAGGCTTTGATTTCAAGAAATATTAGTTTGAAAATTGATAAGAGATTTGATATTTCGGAGAAAATTTTTGCGCTTTTTAATATATTTATAATCATTGTCAATACAATGATATTTCTTCAATCAATTATACTTTTATGATTATCGAATAGAGCTTTTAGTTTCCAGGGTTGCGACAAATTTTCAAATTTACTTTTCCTAGAAGTAAAAACTTATAAGAACAAATTTGATTCTACATTTTCGATTTAGTTTTTCACATATAATCACCCTCTGGTCATTTGTATCGCCGATTATAGGACACCCTGTATATATTAAATATATATGTATATTATATATATATATTGTATTGCAAATTGTATTACAATATATTATTTAAATATTTCTTCATTTGATTGTTAGTGATGCGTATATTCATTCGTACATTCGATATGAGAGGATTAATCCCATACTAGATTAATATTATTATTATTATAGTGAATGTTCGTTGGCACAGACAGTGGCTGGTTTTAAAGGCACTTTGGGCTGATTATTATCCACAGTACCATCCAGCAAAACTATCTTATTATATATCAATTCCCTCATTTGTTTTTTTATTTTTTTTTTAAAGATTCTACTTCTTAATTTTACGACTCGAATGTAACACCACTTCTTTTGATGAACTCAGTGTGGATCTTACTTTTTTGTTTTGTTTGTTTTTTTTTCCTTTATAAGTATTACATCCAGTCAATTTTACCTTATACGTTTATTAATTTATCAAGATGCTATTTTTCTGAGCATTTCGATAGTAAAAGATAAACGTAAAAAAAAAAAACTTTTCACAGCGGTTTCGTGAAGTTTGCTGGAAACATTCCCTTTTCGTTTGTACCTTCTTTGATACCCATCAACCAGCCCTCTTCCTAAAGTGACAACAAATTTCATATTTTCTTTCTTTTGTTAATGATTATTACAATTATTAATATAGAAAAAAAAAAGGAAAAAGAAATGGTATACGAACCTGTTCTTCGGGATCATTGTATTCTACGACGCGTATTATTTCACCAACGTCGAACGACAATTCATCCACATCTTCCCGACTGTACTTATAAGTAGCCTTGACCCTATATAAAACACCAGGTGGCAAATTGTCCGTTGTCGCCCCTGCAGAGAAATTGGTACCATTTTCATATTCCACGTCTAAAATTATCGAATCCGCACCATTAGTGATGGACCTATCGTAATCTAATAGCAAATTTAACTTGTCAAAATTATAAATAATATATATATATATCTTATTTAATTTTGTATTTTATTTTAATCGTTAGAACCAACAAGTCAAATTCGCTAGGATACATCATTTTAAAATTCAGTATGACCATGCACAAATGGGCAGACGATTTAACGGTCCATTTCAAGATAACTTTAACATAAATATATTTATATAATTAATATTCAATAAACGATTAATAACAAAATTAGCTTTGCTGCGATTAAAAAAACGTTGTATTAGTTTTATCATTTCAATATTAGAATTTAACATTAAAACGGCTGAAATTTGTTTATGAGCAAGACAATTAATATCGATCCAGTATTTTGTTCCCACACAGCAATTTTGTTGAACAAAAATAATATACTTACCGACTGGTATATCATAAAGTTCTTCAACACGTTTGGTAGGTACGACTGTACTTTGCGGAGAAGCATCCTGATTATTGAGAGAATTATCATTGCTATTAGCATTGCTGTTAGCATTGCCATTTAATTGGGTCGTTGGCGAGGTGTCTCTAGCTGGTGGTACCGAATCCTCCACAGCTGCAACACGCAATAAAGCACACTCATACCACACACGTTGGAACCCATGACTTTTAAAAGGCTTCTTTTTTTTTTTAAAAAAAAAATCAATCCTCTCTCTTTTATTTTTTAAGCTATCTCTCTATCTCTAATTAATAAATATTTATTTGTTCTCCATTTTTGTTTATTTCTTTTTACATGATAAAAAATATTATCAATCGGAGGAACGTCTTAATGCATGCAATATATTAGTATACACATTGTCTGTCAACGTACATAAATCAAGCATTTATCTTTCTATACCAAGAAATTCTTTTTTACCTGCCGAGATGTTGTTTTGTGACGGTTGCGTATTTATTATCAAGCTGCAAAAAAATAAAGATCTTGTT